GGGCATCTCTATTTCGTTGTCATATCGTTGCTGAAACGTCTCTCGGGACCATCAAGTTGCATGATTCTAGAGGGCACGATTTCACATTGCTTGTTAGTCAAAACAGGTTAGGCTATGCCAAAATAACAAATAAGCCCTGAAATCGCAGTAGCTTAACACACTAAGAAATTGCCTCAGGGTCCTGTCATAGAACAGCATCGGGAGGAAGACTGTGGCTCTGTCAGGACTGGGCTCCTTCCAAGTCAACAGCAGCATCACGGGCCTCAGGAGCATTCTCAAAAAGCAAACGCTGATTTGGGGGGGAGTAGTCCTAAAAAATGAGAGCACAGCTTCCCTCAAGGACTGTTCATTGCCTCTAGGGGGTCAGCCATACTGACCATAGGCTTCATGGTCAAGCCCAAAGGGTGAGAGATTCGATAACTGAGGTACAGTTGACAGGGAATATTTATTCCCAAGTTCTGAGGTCTCCTCTCACATGAGGGAACACCATTCATGTCACACTGCTAGTTTCTCTCTGCCTCCTCACCCTTCCCCGTGGGCGAAGAAGAAACCTGTGTTATGGTGAGTCAGAGGAGGAGCCGGCATTTGTAACTCAGCAATTTACTCCCTCCCTGTACTCTGGAGCCCACCCATCAGCAGAGCACAGGATCCTGCCCGCTCTTCCATGCTGTACATTTTCTAGAGGCAAAGCCTCACATGGTCTATTGCTGCTTGTGACCAGGTAGGTAAGTCTAATTCTGGCTTCAGCATTAGAAAACTTTTTATTACCGATATACCTACATCTGCTTTATCAACATAATAGGTGACATTTTGGTCTTCATTTAATTATTCTGTTGTCTTACTTCTGGATTAAGAGCGAGAACCCCAACCTTAATAGGTAGCTTCCAGAAACAGTCCTGCTTGGGATTTCGATTTGTGTTGAATCTATAGATTAATTACTGGAATGGGGGGGAGGTAGTTTTATAATATTCAATCTTCCCATTGGGATATAGTTTTCTCTATATTTAATTTTATCTCCTTTAATTTCCTTCATGGAAATTTTATAACTCTCTTGACATAGGCCTTAGAAATTTTCTGTGTTACGTTTAATAATAGATATTTTATTATTTTTGCTACTTTGGTCATTGGGCATTTTATTTCCATTACATTTTCCAGTTCGTTATTGCTGACACAGGAAGGCATTTTATTTTTTTGATATTGATCTGGATTTACTATTAGTTGTTTAGGTTTTCTGCATTTAGCCTAACCATAAAATAGATGTAAAGAAAATAGAATTAGTAAAGATGGAAGCAAAAATTAATGAAATTG